GGACCATCCCCTGGAGAAGGATGTCATGCTTGGTAGGGTGGAGGGTCGACGAAAGAGGGGGAGGCCTTCAACGAGATGGATTGACATGGTGGCTGAGATGATGGGCTCAAGTATAGCAGGGATTGTGGGGCTGGCATGGGATCGGGCAGTGTTTCATTCTGCTGTGCATTGGGTCGCTATGAGTCGGAAATGACTCGACGGCACTTAACAACAACAACAACATTGCACTGAGAATATCTGCTACAAAAGACCTCTTTAAAGTGTTAGGTAAAGATGTCAATTTGAAGACTAACATGCATCTGACCCAAGCCATGGTATTTTCAATTGCCTTGTATGCTTGTGAAAGCTGGACAATGTATAAGGAAGACCAAAGAAGAGCTGATCTCTTTAAATTATGGTGTTGGCAAAAAATACTGAATAACCATGGGTTGCCAGAAGAATGAACAAACCTGTTCTGGAAGTGCAGCTTGAGTGCACCTTGGAAACAAGAGTGGCCAGGCTTTGTCTCATCTACTTGGGTCATGTTGTCAGAAGGGAAAATTCCCTGGAGAAGAATATCATGCTGGTAAGGTATGGGGTCAGCAAAGAATGGGAAGACCCTCAATAAGATGGATTGACACTGGCTGCAATGATGGGCTCAAGCATAGTAAGGATTGTGAGGATGGTGCAGGACTGGGCAGTGTTTCATTTTGTTTCTTCACTATGAGTCAAAACCAAGTTGTGGTAGTTATGTTTGTGTGTCAACCTGGCTGGGCCTGGTTGAGTGGCTGGGCAGCTGGTGGTAGTTATTCCCCATAATGAATCAATTCCATGGTGGGATCTATCACAAGCAGCTGAGTAGCCACCTTTGGGATGTGGTCTGCTTCCTGTATATAAGGAGAAACCTTGGGAATGGTCTCTAGGCTATGGCATGCTTGGACCCTGCATGTAGCCATGGTGTTATTCAGCAGTTCTGCCAACCTTGGGACTTACAATGGACTTAAGTTAATGGTCTGCCGGGTGGTTTGGTAACATCGGGACTGTGCCTTTTTTACTTATCAACCTTGGGGCTTCTCAGCCTCAGCAGCCAGCAGCTGTCTTAGTGAAGAAAAGCCTCTAGCTCCAGCGGGCCAGGAGCAGGAGGCAGAGTTGGACCCCAAGGTTGAAGGGCTTTCACCCTGCACCTAGAGCCTGGCACTTTGAACTTGGACTTAAAGCCTCCAAATTGTAAGAATAAACTCCTGTTTGTTAAGGCCATCCCATTTGTGGTATATTCTTGTCAAGAGCAGCACTAGTCAATGGCAGAACACAAGTCAACGGCACCTAACAACAACAATTATGGTTAGTGATATGTACTATGTACAATGTTGTGGTGCATAATTTGCTGATCATAAACATTCTCAGACGTTCACTTGCAGATGATTCCAACCCCCAAAGACAAATAACCATCAGATTTATGATGATACTGATAATAAAAGACAACAATAATGAAACTTTTAAAAAATGAGGTATTCAATGCAACAAAACTGACTTACGATGGAGTCACCAGAATGGAACCCAATATTAAATTAGGGCTACTTGTACTCTGAATCATTTGTAAAAGATTATTTAATCCAGTGGTTCTCAATTGGGAACAATTTTGCCTCTCGTGGGATATTTGGCAATGTCTGGAGACATTTTTTATTGTCATCACTTGGATGTGTGAAGGAGTGCTACCGACCTCCAGTGGGTATAGGGCAGAGATGGTGCTAAGTAAGGCATTCAGCTGCTAACCAAAAGACTGGCAGTTAAAACCCATTGGACTCTCCACAGGACAAAGATGAGGCGGTCTGCTTCCATCAAAATGTACAGCCTTGGAAACCCTATGGCACAGTTCTATCCTGTCCTATAGGGTCACTATGAGTCAGAATCAACTCAATGGCAGTGGGTTTAGTTTTTGGTCTGGTCAAATTCAACAGTTTTTCTGGAATTCTATATATTTTTGCTTTATATATTTTGAAGCTGTATAATTTGGTGCATCATAGTTCTTCAACTTACTGTCTTGTCAAAAATATGAAACATATTTATTTATCCCTATTGACACTTTCCATTTTCAATTCTACTTTGTATACAGCTTTAATATTATTACATCTGCTGCTTACATTTTTCTGAGATATTTTCCATCTTTTTATTTTCAGCCTTAATCTGTCAAGTTATTTCTGCTGTTCTCTGTTAATAATACAGAGCTGTGTATTGTTTTTACAGCTCAAGGAAGTGTCTCTGTCTTTTAACAAGGGGTTTAACCCAGGTACATTTTTATGATTTCTGATTTGGTTGGACCCATTTCTGGCATCTTATTTGTTTTCTATTTATTATGCTTTTAGCTATTATCTTTTCTCCCCATTCTTGCCTTTAGTTGTACTGATTATGTTTTGTATGCTTTATCTTTTTTTTCCTCTACTGTTTTAAAATTTACACATTCCATTTCTTTTCTAGTGTGATTGCCCTTAAGTGTTTAATACACGTACATAAATTTACAATTTGCTAGCAATGTATAGAGTTAACCATCCTAAACAAAAAAAGAACTTTAGGGTAAACTTGTGTCTTCCCCATTTATTTCCCCATTCTCCTCTCATATTGATATCATCTGGATTTTAGTACCAGATTTTTAAAAATTTTATAATTAACATGCATTTAGACTTAATAATGCTTCAATAATTACTTTGGTTACCACTACCCTGTATCTGTATGTAATGACTATGAGTAAAAGAATTTTATTTTTCATCAAGGATTTTTTCCCTGAGGACTATTTTCAGGAAGAACAGGGGAAGATGGTGATATACCATACCAGTATCTAATTTTCTGGGTGGTATGCTCCTATGTTCATGGGCATCAAGAACCACCCAGGGCACCACCTATCTCTCTAACCCAACCTCCCATTGTCACATACATTCACATATATGATATAGTCACATGTCTTTTCTACCCAGAGATAATCACCTAATTACTGATGCCTGGCCAAAGCAGGCTTGGAACCATTCCAGTTGGACATCCTGCTGAGAATTTGTATTTCTACCCCAGTTATACTGAATTAGAATCTACATTTCCTAAAAATCACCTGGGAATCCTGTTAAAATGTAGATTCTGAGTCAGTATATCTGGGGTGGAAATCCAAATTTCAGCAGGGGGTCAAACTAAATGAATTGGTTCAAAGGCCTAGGCCAAAGGCAGAGTGACTATGGGATGAACAGATTAACTAAACTAGCTCCCACTGAAGTAACTCAACCAATTACCCTACTAATTACCCCAGAACTTCTACCTTCTGCAACAGCAAATATTGTAGGCTTCTCCTATGCACGTTCTAGGCTAAAATTTCCCTCTTTAATCCAATCCTGTTTTCCCACATCAGAGATTTCTCACAGTTTTTGGTTTACTGGATAGAGAGCCTGATATTTTAAAATATCTTTTCTATTATTTTTAGAGGTAAGAGAGAAGACTACAGTATTTGCTCAGACAGCCATACTGAAATTCCTATACTAATAGCTAATATATTTGATAACATCAAAACAATCATGTCCTAAGTGCAGCATATTCATTTTTTCATTTTGAAACAAAGTACAATGCCTATTTACTATTAAAAGAGAAATACTTACTTGTTTATCACTTTCTTTTCGTCTGAAGTCAATATTGGCAAGCTTCAGAGAACAGTCTTCTTTTTTATCTGGGTTATTAAATGATAGCACTTCAAATCAATTCCAGAGATAGAATCACATATAACAGCTAATATTTAACTTAACTTTGCATTTTAAAAAAATCAAGCCTGCATGTTTGAACTTAAATTAAAATATATCATCATAAATTAAATAACTTCTTAATGTGAACTCTGAATATGAAATGCAAATCAGCTGACAAGACTAAACCTTTATAATGGAGTAAAAGACAGAGTGGTAATATTAACAACCAGGGCTTCAAACTGGTTCTTCCCAGTTCAGTCATGGCTGACCACGTAAAACTGAAATGGACCCGAATTTGTAAAATGTGGGTATACGAGAACAATAACCAGGAGAAGAACAATTACCGGTCAGTGCCTTGTTAGAAACAATCACCCTCCTAAAAGAAGGGCAGTATGTGTGTTACATTAGCAATCAAATCTCTGGATCAACAGAGTTAGAACAGCAGTGCCCAGCTCACATATGGCTGTCAACCACATTGCTTTGAATGTGTGTCACTCTCCACAGTCCTGGCGATAATCTAATCTCCTATATCAGGCTCCTGAAAGGGCTGACTACACCTCTTCCAAGCTTCCTATTCCAGGGCTTTGACTCATAATTTTTCCTGTTCCAGTTATTGTTCTGGTACACCCACATTTTACAAATTTAGGTCTGTTCTGATTTTGCTGCGTCAGCTATGACTGAACCAGTTCCAATAAGTATGAAGTCCTATTAACAACTGAAGACAAAAAAAACTAAGCCCAATAAATTTAATCTAGTCTACAGATTCACTGAATTAAATATGATTCAAGTTAGTCACAGATAACATTAACGCAAGTCAGCTACCCATGTCAGTCACACATACTGATAATACAGCTCCTCAAATGAAAAATATACAAATACGCACCCTCCTCTGACAGTTGTGCAATCAGATAAGGATACTTTTTATATTATGTGAATTATTTTCCTCTAAAAGAAAAAAAATGTAAAGACATACATTGCTTGCTCTCAGAATCAAGGTAGTACTTTCCCATGTCTACAGAATTCCAGAATTGTCTGCTCTTGCTTATTATACCAAATGATAACTAAAACTGCTTCTTTTCTATTTCTTGTCCTGTTAGCAAAGAAAACTAAGTTTTCCAATAATAAACAAATATTGTACCTGTAACTCTTTGTCCTGAAGAATTCATCTTTATTGGTCTGATTAATTTCTGAGATTCATAAGGAAGAAATAACAGACTGTTTTGATGGTTTTTATCCAATACTAGTACATGTTCATCTTTTTCAAATATTCTAAAGAGTGAATTTGAAAGACTTTTAAAAATATCAAAAATATTTTAAACCAAAACTTTATCTATAAATAGCATACTTCAGATACCAGAGTATAATAAACTTTAAAACATTATTCACAAAAAATTAAACTGATTATAGAAATCATTAAAACAATAGTAAAATCATAAATGAGGCTTTTAAGTTTTTTACTGGAAAAATCATTTAATGGAGTTTTTCCTAAGTTAAAGAAGTAGAATAAACACCATCAAACTAAATACTAAATAGTTATATAAATTTCTCTCAACATAAAAAATATTTATATTTTAAAACTGTCAATAAAATTCTATACATTGATCTATTTTTCCACTAAATTTCAATATAAAATTAAAGACACATCATCACAAACATAAGAGGTGGGAGTGAAGGAATCAAGAAAAATAACAGATACAGGAAATTAATTTGAGAAGGAAATGTGTTGAAAAATCTAAATGAGGGCAATAGAGTCTGATGAGAGGAACTTAAAAAAAAATGAAAAAAGGTATTGACAGAAAAAGTATAAAGTTTATCAGAAACAGTAATAGGGATATAGCTGTCTGTCACACAATAACAGGTAACAACAACCTTTTTAAATGCCTATGCTACTTCTTCTACTACTGATGCTTATTTTATCAGTACTAGGATGAAAGGCAAGGAAACATATGAAGGCACAGAGTCAGCAGCATACTTTGGCTCATCTTGACTGTTTTGAAGGAAAACTGTACAAACTGGTGACAGAATGACAAGAAGGTAAATACAGGAGTTCTGGTAAGATGGTAGAATAGGCAGAAAGACTGTACAGACCCTCTTCAACAAAGAAAAGGGGAACCAATTAACACAGATGCAGAAGATAATTCTGGACCCCTGAGCCTTGAAGGGAAGGAGATGAAAGTGGACTAAACTCCAACTAGCAGAAGAATTTGCATGAAAACACCAAAAAAGGAGACATACAGAGCTGTGGTCTGGCAGCAATCCGGACGGCACAGACAGCTTGGATATTGCCAAGTGGTGGCAGGGCCTAAGAATTAACTTAAAAATTGGCACTGCTAGCCAGGGACTGACAGAGGACTACTCTGGTGGCTGGGGCATAAAAGGGGAAGCAGCAAAGAGGAAGGTGGGCTGAGCTGTGGACTTTTGTCTGTCTGGAGGGTGCAGCCATTTTGAATGCTTACAAGAGGCTTGACCATTTTGGATATTCAAAGTGACAGCATTCTCCCAGATTCCAGGGACAAAAGAATAGGCTCCACTTGGTAGGAATCCCAAGGACATTCCAGACCTGGATGACTGGAAAGGTGCGATATTCCCCTTGTTACTCTTATACCCCACACCCTGTTGGTGAATGGAGGTGCAGCCATCCCTCACTCCCACCCACTTTCTGGGTCAGCAGGAAATCCATCCCAGTCTGTGTGCTTGGACGGAGCCTGGGTGCCCTGCCCTGCAAAAATGTTTTTCCTTTTTCTGTTTTTTAGTTTGTTTGTTTTTGTCTGTTTTAAAACTGTTATTATTACTACTTTTGTCCTTTTTACTATTATTCTTTATTCTTCCCCTTGCAGGTACTAGTTTTCAGCTTTTTTTTCTTTTCCCTGTTCCTGGTTACAAATTTTTTTTTTCTTTCTTTCTCATGGAAAACCCTGTCCCTTGTTTCTCTTTTTGCATTTTCCCATTTTTTTCTCATTATTCTCCATCTCAACTTATTTCTCTTATTGCCCTCTCACCAGATATTGCAGGTTTCTTTCTTTCTCTTTTTTTTTTTTTTCCCCTTCTTTTTCCCTTGTTTTGGTTACTGTTCCTGTGTGATTACATGGTGTATTTTTTTGTCCATTTGCTTTTACTTTTTTGATAGTTATTCAATTGTTATTTTTGTCTAACTGAGTGGAAGACAGTAACAGTCCCCATATGACACAACTACACCCATACCTCCTGCAGCTTCACTTACTGAGAGAGAGG